ATCAGTTCACCCAGGACGATCAGTTAAATCCACATGCTGTGGCCCTTTTTCTATGGATACATTGAAGACAATAACCCAATCCCATCGGATTCGAACGGCGAAAAGGTGGTCGCCTTGGACGAGCAAGGCTTGTCCTTTTTCAAGATTCTGTTTTCGGTTTCGCATTTTTCCATAAGGACACTGACAAATAACGACAGTTTTCATGAATGTTAAATGTCTGTATGTGTCGAGTGATCTTTAATAGCCATTGAACATCCAAAATTGGACTTTGCATCTTTTGCGTTTGTACTACCTCGGGACCACAAAGTATGTACCGCTCTAAGGAGAGAGAGGTAGATTCGAAATTAATGACAAGCAATGCTTAAGATATAGGATGAAGCATGTCGAATGGGGGAAAAGTGGAAGTCGAGATATTTTTCTAGCAAACCTACTTTGCAGCTACTTTGAAAAGGCAGCAAAAGAGCCTTATTGAATACTTGTTTCGCAATCACAACATCGCAACTCACATCATTGCTGCATTTTTCAACTGAAACTGATAACTCGATTGTCACCAGTGGTTTTCACATCGTCATACTGTAAAAAATTTATCTAGGGTAAGTGAACCAGTTATGGAACAATCCCATATTCGAATGGGTACCAGTTTTTGGTCCTACCCATTTAAATCACATAAGCTATGACTGGTACATACCAAGCTAGGGATTTTTTTATGTAGTGACATTTTTGTACACTTCCCATCAATATATATATCTCATATATCACAAAAAAAAAACAATCGATTACGACCCGAACAAAGGGAGTAAAAAAAATATGTTCTCTTAGAATTTGTATTTTAGCTTTTGAACTAAAGCATCGTACCCAAAACCAAACACCATGTCTAAAATCTGAAAACCGAATTCCCTGAGTTTGAAAAGAGTTTCTAATTCCATGATTTCGAAAAAATATTCAAAGAATCTGAATCGAAAATTCAAAGGTCTGAAAATAACTAGTCTAAATTAATGAAACTTTGTTTAGCCGTTATGTGGGTGCCAAGGTATCTGGGTATCCAGCTCCCGTTTGAATTTCATGGTGTAGTAAAAAGTAAAAAATCCGTCACGCACATAACGGTTAAGTCAGAGATCTCGTATTTTTTTCCCTGAAACTCGTATTTTACAAGCCTAAAATTGCTTGCTAAAGCTTTCTCTTTTACTCTGGCTAATATGACCCATTCGGCCACAAAGTAGCACTTCAACCTAATAACGATCAACTGGTATCAAGTTTCTCAACTATGTGTGGATTCTTCAGCCATTTTCATAAAATGAATGTTGTTTAATTGTTCACTAGAACACTTTGGTAAAATTTCAAATGACCGTGGAATCAATGAAATCAACCATTTTTTTATCATTAAAGGGGTTCACAAAGCAAAGCTTGAACATGCTAAATTCAATGCTTTTAAACGCCATTAAAAAAACTGGGCAACTTAATGCTAATTGAATTGCTGAACATTTGGTTCCTTGGATTTTTTTTAAATAAGAATAGGTAGGGGAAATGGCTCTAAATCTGCTACTTATCAATTTTATCTAGATGAAAGCGTCATTTGGACGGTACTAATGGATATTTTTGGTCGCTACTGAAAATTTTGTCGATAGCTGAGCTTGTGTATGGACCCAAATTAGGGGCATTTAGGCCGACATTACATCAATTTCCCCTATTTTACACACCCTTAAACCAAACGAACGAAATAAGTGCGGTACAGAGTCCGTTTTTTGCCCACTTTGCTTCATTGTAATTTGGCATTGTAATTATTTCATAATCATTATGCAAAACATTCTTTGGAATGAAACACTAAATGAAAAATCTTTTCGTCTGGATTCATTGATCTGGTTGGTTTTCAAAGCATAACTTATGTTATAGATCTCGGACTATCTAAACTACTTTTTACATAGACGGCAACAATTTTCATTATTGTAATCTTCAAATATCGCCTACACACTTATTTTTTCCGAGATTTCAACAGCCGAGAAGTTCTGCAATTTATTTTGATGAGATTCAGACTGTTGTAGACTTTCCGGACTAGATTGAGTGTGAAGAATAAGAAAAGGCCAATTGTAGAAAGTTAACTTAGTCATGGCTAATCTGCGTGCCATTGAAAAATTATACTATGTTGAGTTACCGAAACCATTTGAGCAAATAGGTTGAGAACTGATAAACAAAGGACTAAAAAAAACGTTGCATCACTCATTCATCGCGTCATAGAAGTATTTTTGGAACTACTTGCAAACGCTCATAACTCATCGCAGGAAAAACGAATGGAACAAGTGTATAATCTACTGATTTACGACATGTTCTAAATAGACTCCGCTCCATGCGAAGCAATGGGGTCATAAAATTATTTCTTTTTATTTTTCTTCCACCCCGTTGAAACAAATTGATCACAGTTTTCATTCTGCTCCTCATCGACTAATAAACTCGTGTGGCTCGCGACTGTGTTCCGGAAGGGTCCAGTTATCGTTAGCCAATCTATAGAAACTGAGCGAAAGGAACGAGAACCAGGGCCCCAAAGATATGGGAGATAAATTAATAAAATGTTGAATTTGCTCACGGAACCCGGAGCTCACGTTTTTTGATTATTTTTAGTCCGGTGTCCTCTGTACCCGTCCGAGGTGAGGTTGCCGCAGCGTAAAGAGCCCCGGCTTTTATGGTTGCTATTGTTGAACACATTATTTTCCGATCTTGGTTTGATATTTAAACGATCATCCCTCCCTTCCGACTCGCAGCGATCCGCAAAGCTTCAAATGTCGCATATAAGTACACGGAATTTTTCTTCTCCAGTCAATCTCTATAGCTGAGCTGACTGTTGTTGTTAGCTGAATAGCGAATTGGAATAAAAGAAAACTTGTCCCTCTGGAAACGGTTTTGGAGCTCATGGATCTATCTACCGACCCGTCTCGTCCGTCGAAGTCGATCTACGGAGATCGTTTGTGTCGTTTGGGCCAGTAAGCAGGCACGGAGACTTCAAATCGAGGTTATGTTATGTCTTTCAGCTATGACCGTTTCAGTTGTCAATTACGACAACTTTAGCGATTGTTTTGAATATAGAATAATAACAATAATTATTATTACGGGGGTTACAGATCTGCTTTCCGTGATCGTACGGTCCTCGTCGTTGTCGTCGTCGACGTGGTAGGCCTCGCTCTTGCTCTAGTGGTCATGCGGCAATTTTTTTTTCGACGTCCCAGCAGTGATCCTCGAAGATAGTGCGAAGGCGCGCGCGAGAGCATAAAGCCTATGATCGTGCCTCAGCGTGGGAACCGTGCTTACGAGCACGAAATTCTTTATGCATTTTCAATTTTTTATGCCTTCGTCCGATCGCCGTCCTCGTCGTCGCCGCCTCTGGCTTTGATCGGGACGAAAGGAAAGTTTTGCTCCAAGGGATGTGAGTTTCTTCTTGGATTTTGTTGAATTATGGACTGGATTGAAGATACAATGATTTCTGAATCCTGCTACATTTTCATCTCAATTTAAAAACTAACCATGCAACAATGTAGAGCACCCTTTGCTGGTGCACCAACTACTTGACCTTCAGACCTACAACGTAATCGTGCATCACCGGCTTATTTTTAACCGCCCGTTCTCTCTCTACTACTTCGGTAGACCACATCCTCGAAAAGTCGACGCCAAACGAATCCTTACAACAGAATACAGTAGAACGCACGCAAAGCTTTCCTACCTGGCTACTGACCCCTAAGGGTACGAAATATAATACTCCTTTTTTATCAATTATTATTCGATGTGCCAAAGAGTCAGACAGGCAAGAAGCCAGCAGCATCCACCAGCACAATCAACAATCGTTCACTTTGTGCCTTTGTTGTCCTTCCGTTCGTTCGTTCGTCCGATCGTCTCGCCGAGCGCTCCAATATTCCGTGGGGTAGGCAACGCACCTAAAAAGGCGTCTCTTTCTGCCAGTTCCAGTGTCAGCCAGCCGGCCGGTCGCACTGAATATATACATACACTCTTGCATGCATGGAACGAACGCCTTTTTGTGACTCTTCCCGACCACGTTTTTTTTTTTGCGTGTATGTATACGTACTGGATAACTGGAAAGATTTTATGACCCCGGGCTATAAATACTTCATCTGCATAAAGTTTAAAATTTATAAAAATGATATCAGAGCGCTCTCTCGCCGCATCGGAAGGCTGAGCAGGAATGTGCGTTTACCTACGTGCAATCAAGTGCGCGTTCATGACGAGAAAATAAAAACAGCCGAAACACTTGTTGTACGTATGGAAGATCGCTCGAATGAGACACACCGGTTGGATGGGTGCAAGATTAAGATAATCTAAATCACCTCGCACACGTTAGACATTTGAACTCGATTGGAGTTCTCGCTCTGGGTTCTGGAAAGTGTTGATAAATTGTTCCAAATGAGAAGCGGAATTGTCTTTTCTCTCGGACCAGCAGCTGGCCAGAGGGAATCATTTTTCTCACGGAGCCAACAAACGATTGCGGACATTGTGTACGGCAACGAACAAAGACACACAGAACTATACGCGGGCTTAATCGCGCCGAGATTGGTATCAGTCAGCGAAACAAAAGCTTACCATATTGAATTGTCATTATCAATCACGCGTTCACCGTTGGGTCGCTCCAGGAAGTCTTTTCTTTTTGCTGTTCGTGCCTTACTCCCCGTATGGTGCTTTTCATACGTACATGAAGTTACTGCACTACACAGTTTTCACATCGTTTCTACTCCACAGTAGATATGAAAATCAAGTTTATGCTTGTACCTCAGTCCAGACTCTGACTTGGTTGATAGTCATATGTGGAACTAAGCAACACTAACAAGAGAGAGAAAAAAACTCGTCCCCTTTCCAGACGATTGTTAAATAAATCAGTGCGCATCTTTTCCCTTCGTTCCTGCTATGCTCGAACTAGTTATATTCAAATATCAAACTACCGAACGCGATTGATCAAAGGTCAAAAGGTCATCACACTAAACTAACGCGTTTCTATTCTTTTACAGGATCACCTCCCCTTACCGGAACTGGCACAGTGCGAGTAATCGTGCAAGATATGAACGATCACAGTCCGGAGTTTGAGCGCCAAAGCTATCAAGCTACCGTTTCGGAAAACCTTCCACCCGGCACCAAAGTTCTACGCCCAGTAGCAACCGACAAAGACACCGGAATGAACGCCAAGATTCGATACACACTATTGGGTGAACAATCGCAGCGCTTCACCGTGGATCAAGACAGCGGAGAGATCACTACAGCCAGTACCCTCGATCGCGAGGACATTCCGCAGTATCACTTCACCCTTATGGCTCAGGATAGCTCAACCACTGAACCGCGAGCCACAGTTGTCAACCTGACGATCATCGTTTCCGACATGAACGACAACAGCCCTGCCTTCGATTCCGCCAGCTTCCATGTAAATATTCCCGATCGTATCAAACGAAACCAGTTCGTGTTTGGTGCCAAAGCAATCGATCTGGATGAAGGGATGAACTCCCGTATTTCGTACTCGATCAGTGGAGCTGACGCGAACAAATTCCACATTAACGAAAATACCGGAGTCATCGAGGCTTCTGTTGAACTATCTCTACCAGGACAAAATGCCGATCGTGTCTTTAGCCTCATAATCGAAGCTCGCGATCAAGGTTACGATCAAAAATCAACCAAAGCCGAGCTTACGATCGCGTTGAAATCGGCCCACCTTTTCCCTGTTTTCTCGTATCTGTCAGAAACTCAATTCATGCTACCGGAAGATATCGCCGACGGTAAAGTAGTCACAAAAATATCCGCCACTTCTCCCAAGAAAGGTCCAGCAGGAAACATTCGTTATGCAATTGCTGGCGGAAACATCGGCGACGCACTGAGGATCGATCCCAACACGGGAGAGGTAGCCGTCAACAAAGGTGGACTTGACTACGAAACGAATCAACAGTACGAGGTATGGATCGAAGCGGCCGATTCTGATAGGCCCAGTTTGCGAAGTGTGATGCAGTTGATCATCAACGTGACAGACGCGAACGATAATGCTCCGGTGATGGAAAAGCAAGTCTACACAGCTGAAGTCATGGAGGAAGAATCTCCCGGTTCATTCGTTACGAAAATTCAAGCTACCGATGCGGATACCGAAGAAAACGGTCAACTAACCTACAGCTTGAAGGATGACTTCGATAGTTTTGAAATCAACAGCGATACGGGAGAAATATACACTACAACACGACTTGATCGGGAAGACATTCCACGCTACGCGTTGATCGTGGAAGCAGTTGATCAAGGCGTTCCTCAATTGACTGGAAGTGCTACAGTGCTGATAAGCGTACTGGATAAGAACGACAACCCACCAAAGTTCACCCGTCTATTTAGCGTTAACGTGACCGAGAACGCCGAAATAGGAATCTTTGTCATCAAGATCACCTCTTCCGATTCGGATATCGGTATCAACGCCAACGCAACCTACATTTTCACCGAAAACATTGGAAACAAGTTCATGATCGATTCAACGACTGGAAACGTCACCGTGGCTGGGCATCTGGATCGTGAACAGCAAGACGAATATATTCTGAAAGTTGCTGCCGTCGATGGAGCATGGAGAGCGGAAACACCTCTGACCATCACAATCCAAGATCAGAATGACAATGCTCCCGAGTTCGAACACAGCTACTACAGCTTCAACTTCCCAGAGCTCCAGAAACCGGTAACGTTCGTCGGACAAGTGATTGCCACTGATCGCGACAAGCATGGTCCTAATTCGGTGATATCATATTCCCTTCAACAACCATCGGACATGTTTTCGATCGATCCTGCAACCGGAGAGATATTCAGCAAACGAACTATCCACTACAAACACACTCAGATGGAATCATCGCCGGAGAATATGTTCAGTTTGACGGTCCTCGCTACAGACAACGGTAAACCTCCAATGTACTCGGAATGCTTGATCAACATTAACGTGGTTGACGCCAACAACAATCCTCCGGTATTTGCACACCGCGAGTACCTTTCGCCAGCACCAGAGGGAGCCGCAGTTGGACAAAAAATTGTACAACTAGTCGCTCGCGATGAACTTGATTTTGGAGTTAATGCTGAGATTGAGTACGTCGTCACTGGAGGCAATGGAACGAGCAACTTTGTTGTCAATAAGAACGACGGTTGGATTATCGTGAGCAGTATGCTGAATGACAATGCTGGAACGGTTTACACGCTGAATGTGCGAGCTGTAGACAAAGGTGTTCCTCCTCAACAAGATGAAATTGTAGTGACTATCATTGTCACGGGGATGAATAAGTATGCTCCCGTATTTCAGAGTCCCTCGTATCAGGTGATCGTTCCGGAAAGTGAACCAATCGGATCAACTATCCTGACGGTGAGTGCCCCAGATAATGACGATGGTCCCAACGGTATGGTTCGCTACTCCATTACGGGTGGAAACGAGCGAAAAGAATTCACCGTCGATAGTGTCTCAGGGGCCATCACAATCCTTCAACCACTAGACTATGATCTAATTCAAATCTACCAGTTGAACATCACGGCTGAGGATCTAGGTTTCAAGCCTAAGAAATCAATGGCCATGATCACCATTACTTTGACCGACATCAACGATAATGCTCCTACATTCAATCAAACCGAATACGATGCTTTCTTACCAGAAAATTCGCCACCGAAGACCTTGGTCTACAAGGCGATCGCTCATGATCGCGACTCACCGAAAAATGCCATCATCAATTACTCCATTATTGGTGGAACTGGACGTGATTTGTTTTCGATCGAAGCCAGTACTGGTATTATCAGATCAAAGGCTACATTCGATTACGAAGAACATAATCGTTACACACTGGACGTCATGGCCATGAATCCTGATTCTCCCATGAAGAACAAAACCAAAGTCATCGTGCATATTACGGGAGTGAACGAGTTCTATCCGAAGTTTATTCAGCCTGTGTTTCACTTCGATGTTTCCGAATCGGCGGAGATTGGATCAAGCGTAGGTGTAATTCAAGCAACGGACAAGGATGCCGGCGAGGACGGAAAAGTCTATTACCTGTTGGTAGGATCTAGTAACGATAAAGGGTTCAGTATTCATCCGGAAACGGGAATGATGATCGTATCGAGGAATCTAGATCGTGAAACGCAATCTCGAGTGGTACTGACGGTTTTGGCTAAGAACTTTGGGGGCATACGGGGAAACGACACCGATGAGGCCCAAGTGATCATATCCATCCAGGATGGGAATGATCCACCAGAATTTCTACTCGATTTTTACGAGGCTAATGTTTCGGAAGGTGCTCAAGTTGGAACGCGAATCATCACTGTGAAGGCCGTAGATAAGGATGTTCGACCGCAGAACAATCAATTCAGTTACTCGATTATTGGAGGCAACAATGAACACTCATTCAAAATAGATCCCCAAACGGGCCAAATTGAAACTTCGAGGATACTTGATCGGGAAACTATACCAACACACAAGTTAATTCTCGGAGCTATAGATACAGGATCACCTCCGCAAACTGGTACAACTACTGTTAAGATATCCGTCACCGATATCAACGACAATGGACCTACCTTTGACAGTAAAGACACGATTGGTTCTGTACTAGAAAATGAACCTCCACATACGGTGATAATGACGCTTACTGCAAGTGATCCAGATCTTCCACCAAATGGTGCACCATTCACCTACTACTTAGTCGGAGGACGTCACAAGTCATTAGTTACGCTCGAAAAGCATTCTGGAGTCCTCAAGACTTCTCGTAGTATCGATCGTGAGACAACTCCACAACTTGATATACTCGTAGAAGTGGAAGATAATGGAACACCCAAAATGAAAACACAACATACCATCACTGTAAATGTCATGGATCAGAACGACAGCCCATCGACGCCGAGAATTGTCCATGTACTTGTTTACGTTTTCAACAACCAAATCAATGGCGACATTGCCAATGTACATCCCAATGATCCGGATACCACTGGAGACTACCGTTGTAAAATCGTGAGCGATCTCAACAAAAATCCTGTAACTACATTCTCCATAAGCTCAGGCTGCAAACTGCGTCCAACCTCATCATCAATTCCGAGCAACGGACACAGTTTCCTGGTATCAGGAAACGATGGGAGGCATGCTGATGTCTTGTCCACGGTCAGTGTAGAGTTTCTCCGTTTCGATAACGTCACTGTGGAGAATTCCATCAGCATTCGAATCGAAAATATGACAAGCAGTCGATTCCTTGCCAACTACTACAGGAATTTCATTGACATTCTGAAGTCATCGGTAGATAATTCTGACGAACTGATCGTATACAGCTTCTTGGATGTCGAAAAAGCGATGGACATTTCTGTTGCAGTAGCAAATAGCAACAAGGGATTCCGATCGAAGAAATACATCATCGAACGGTTCAGTAAAAAGCAAGACGCGATCAACCTGTTACTTCAAAGCTCAAAGATCACAATCGATTTCATACCTTGCGATGCGAACACCTGTGATAACGGAGGAGTATGCTACGAAAAAATCAACGTCTACGAAGATGTTCAAATCACGGATAGTCAATCTCTGATCTTCACATCGCCCTTGGTGAAGCACGACTTCAGATGTAAGTGCTCCGATGGGTACACGGGTCAAAAGTGTGACAAACGGCAGGATCCTTGCGCACCGAATCCATGTCAAGCGGGTGGACAATGTCGACGTCAAGGTTACGATTTTCAGTGTTCCTGTCAACCGAATCGGGAAGGCAAGTTTTGCCAACTGGAACGTGGAGACATTTGCTCAAGTAGTCCTTGCAAGAACGGTGGTTCATGCCGAGAAAGCTCCGATGGTTCTTCGTTCTTTTGCCTCTGCCGACCGGGCTATCGAGGAAATCAGTGTGAAGCGGTAGCAGATTCATGTCGACCCAATCCGTGTCTCTATGGAGGACTATGTGTGAGCTTGAAACCTGGTTACAAATGTAGCTGTGTAGACGGACGGTATGGGAGACACTGTGAAAAGACGACGTTTGGGTTTAAGGAACTATCATACATGGCGTTTCCTGCTCTAGATTCGGCTACCAATGATATATCGGTGATCTTTGCGACAACCAAGCCGGATGCTCTGCTGATCTACAACTATGGTATTCAAAGCGGTGGGCGATCGGATTTCGTTGCAATGGAAATAGTCAATGGCCGAGCGGTGTTTTCATTTGGAGGCGCAAGGACAGCCATTACATCGCTGGTGGTAGGACAGGGAGCCACCAGTGGAAATACCATATCCAACGGGAAGTGGCACAAAATCACTGCTACAAGAAATGGACGGGTTATGTCATTGAGTGTTTCCAAATGCTCGGAGAATGGAGATTACTGCGAAGACTGTAGACCGGGCGATACAACTTGCTATGCAGACGATACTGGTCCTACTGGGTAAGTTTCATGTGGATTGTTGGATGTATTTAGAATCTTTCTGATTGACAATTTCTCTTCATTTTTTTTTCAGAACGCTAAACTTCAACAAACATTTCCTATTGGTAGGAGGCCTTGCATCCGCTGATCCAGTCCTAGAGCGTCCGGGTCAGGTTCACTCCGACGATCTTGTTGGTTGCGTGCATAGTGTGTCTATCAACGGCCGAGCACTAAACTTGAGCGCTCCCATGAAATCATTCGGTGTTGAGTCTACCTGTAAAAGAGGCAGCAACGGAGGACCTTGCAGCCTTGGACTTCCTGATGATCCAGCTCAACCGCTTTGCGGTCCATTCGGACAATGTATGGATCGGTGGCATACGGCCATGTGCCGCTGTGGAGGATCGATTCTTTCACCAGATTGTTCCAATTCTTTGGAGCATTACTCAATCGCTGATGGTGGATTCATTGAGTTTGAAATTTCTGAAAAGCACAAACGAATGCAACTGCTAGAGAACATCTACAGTGGGAAGAACATTTGGAGCTACGATGTCACGAGGAACAAGCGCTATTCGATAAAAACGGAGAACATTTCCAGCCTGACAATAGCTGAAGACCCACCGAAATATATGAGTATGCTTTTCAAAACTAACAAACCAAATGGTTTACTTATCTACGCAGCGACCAACAAACACTACACGTCGATCGAACTGAAGAATGGAAAGATTTTTTATAATTCTCACCAAGCTTCGTACGTTAACATTACGGCATATACACCGGAAAATCTAGCCGATGGAAACTGGCACAACATAACTCTCCATGCACACAATCGAATATTACAGGTGATAGTCGATGGTAAAAATGTGATTGAAGATCTGGACTCGGCCGGAGTTCACGATTTCCTCGATCCCTATCTAACTGTGCTGTCGATTGGAAATGTGCGGAGAGAACTGTTCGCTAACGAAGCGATGCCATCATACTTCCAGGGATGCTTGGCTAACTTTACCATCAACAGTGAGATCCAGCCATTTAATGGATCAGGCAGTATTTTCAAAAAGGTAATTCACCGTGGAAATGTCATTCCTGGTTGTCTGCTGGCCGGGTTGGGAGCTGCTCAGGTTACGGACCCCTTGAGTATCGGTGTCACGCTTGTGATAATATTCTTCATTGTGCTATTGGTAGCCATCCTGCTCTCGTTTTTGGTGTTCCGCCTACGGAAGCAACACAAAGAAAAAAGTGGAGGTCTTGGAGGTCCATCGGCAATGCATTCAAAGCAGAATGGTGGGTCAACTTTGCTGAGTACTTCCCAGCTGGTTTCGTCGGGAGTTCATAGTGATATCGGAAGAGGTCTTCACGTGAACGACTTATCGGTTGTCGGATATCACTCGGATAACAACGAAATGCTACGCGGAGTAGGAGGTCACCATCTGGTTGGACCGGAGTTGATCTCTAAAAAATACAAGGAACGAGATATAACCAACAATGAGCCTCAGAGACCGCAACGCCCGGATATCATTGAGCGTGAGGTAGTGAGTAAAAGTCCTCCGTTGCGAGAGGACCATCATCCACCATTGCCACCACCAAGCCAGTCCCATCATCCTCATGATCATACCACTCCAGTTGATCTTGGCTCCGAATATCCAGAGCACTACGATCTAGAGAACGCTAGCTCGATAGCCCCTTCCGATATCGATATAGTCTACCACTACAAAGGATACCGTGAAGCTGGTGGAGTGCGGAAGTATAAAGCTACCCCACCTCCGGTAGCAACCTACACCCATCATAAACATCAGACTTCAGCTCAACAGCAGCATCGCCATTCGCCACATCATGCGGGACCATACGCTCCAAGAGTTCCACCGCAGGCTAGTCAACCTCCGCCATCGAATACTCCTCGACCGCATCAGACTACACCACTCGCACGGCTTTCGCCAAGTTCAGAACTCAGTTCACAGCAGCCTCGGATCCTCACCTTGCACGACATCTCAGGAAAGCCTCTGCAGAGTGCTCTCCTAGCAACGACATCTAGTTCCGGTGGCGTTGGCAAGGACGCACTGCATAGCAATAGTGAACGCAGCCTCAACAGTCCAGTGATGAGTCAACTCTCTGGACAGAGCTCCAGCGCCAGCCGGAAAAATCCAGGTGTTCCACAGCAACCACAGAACGTTAATTCTGTGGTTCCAGGACCTATGGGACTAACGGCCGAAGAGATTGAACGACTTAACTCACGTCCCCGGACGTCAAGCTTAGTATCAACGCTAGACGCTGTTTCCAGCAGTAGCGAGGCACCACGAGTGCCAGCTCCACATCTTACACACATGCATCACTCGCCAGCAGTCGATGCTCATAGTTCCACCTCGACCGATGAGTCGGGTAACGATAGCTTTACCTGCTCAGAGATCGAATACGACAACAACAGCATCAACGGTGACAAATACACCAAGAACCGAGACGACACCAACCGGAGAGTGGTGAATGATAATAACAACAGCAACAAACCACCGCACCTACCGCCATCGTCATATGATGGATTCGATTCCTCCTTCCGAGGATCGCTCAGTACGCTTGTCGCATCCGACGATGACCTGTCCAGCCATATGGTGGGCATGTATCGGCAACCAAATGGTGCATCCCCATCGGCTACAGGTTGGGACTACCTGCTCAATTGGGGACCCAACTTCGAGAGCCTGATGGGAGTGTTCAAGGACATTGCCGAACTGCCTGACACGGTCAACGGAAGGGTACCCAGCTCTCTGCGGATACCGGCGGGGGTACAGAAACCTTCGGAAGAATACGTGTAGAAATGTAAAATTCCAAACTAGCTCGAAGAAGACAGATTTAAATAACGTGTAAATACTAGCGACAACTGAATTTTAATTAGTATGATTATTTGAGTTTACAGAAAACGAAAAGAGGAGATGTAGAATGTGAAGTGAAACAAACACTTTCCACACCCATTGTGTGCAAATTTTTGCTTTACCTTGTATCAAGGTACGACCTCGAGTTCTATGTACACATAAGCAGTAGGAAGAAACCACGGGAGAAGACGTGTGAAAGAGAAATAAAGCTGTACTTATAGCGCCATCTGCTGAAAACACTTGTACGTATAGGCAAATTGAAAGTCCTCCAAATGTGCATTTATTACCATGACACCAGGCGTGCGTTTATGCGTCCCCTTCCGGGCGTCCATTCACGTTCCCTGGAATCAGTGAACCGGGCCCGATGGGGACATTTTTTTAAACTAGAAAACTGAATCAGTGCTATGTTCTATGATAGGGTGTTGTATACACGATAAGAGATTTGCAAAGTTTTAAACTGTAAATAGGCAATTTTAGCTAAAGGAAAAACGAAGGAGAATCAATGTAAACTATCTTGCCATATGCTTTCTCGAACAAAAATGAAACTCTTTCAACAATTTTGTCCCTAGGAGTAGGTAATCTTTTTAAAGCAATAACATATTCGTAAATAAACGACTTCCAAATGAGACTGTTTTAATTTTGTAAAATAGAACTGTAGGATGTTAGCCATGTAAGTTTCAAACGGTAGGATATTCCCATTTTAACAAATTAAATAATTCAAAATTTACATGTACAAATAACGATTTTCCATTTTGGCAGCGAGACAATATGTAAATAGTCTAGTAACAAAACAACTCAAAATGATTCTAGTGAAATGAATTTCTGTAAAATTTCAAACAAAACAGGAAATAAATGTTAACTATGAAATGGTTGAAGTACTTTAATCATATCGAAAATTCCATACCAACACTCAATTAAATTATATAACGCTAAAATTCATCGATGAATTCGAAGACCATGACCCTCACCAGCGCATGCCGATTCAATCAATTACAAATAAAATACCTATCATCGAACACACTAACCAATGACGATGCGTCATTAATTTACGAAGCGCATTAATTTACGAAGCGCATTAAGGTCCTCCCTCATAAAGCCTTCTTTTAGGATCTTTCTATCACAAGCGCATAATGTCCCATTTCTAAAGAAACCAAAGACCAACATACATTATCTCCACCGGATCTTTCGTCCGGAACTCATGCTTTGTTTGAACTCCTAGCGCGGCACTTCGACTCGGCTAATTCATTCATTGTTGTGAATCCACCAGTGGTTTCCCTGTGATGCATACAATCCACTTGATGGGATAATAGTGTTATAATAGTAAGCTACAAATCGTCTGCCTCATCGTCATCACCAGGTCTCTCCTTTCTGTTTCGAATGTAGGTTAAATTGAAGAAAATATTGTCCATATACCTTCTGACGCCGTCGTCGTCGCCGGTTGTTACTGGTTACTAGCGGGATCACAACAAACTTGACGCATGCCCAGAGACCGAACCTAGCACTAACCATCGCTCCGTTCCGATGCTTCTGGTTGCTGCCACTATCCCATCCGTCAGACCCAATGTGTTGATTAGTGAGTTTCGAAATTTTCTCCACCAAGTATTCATCTCATGCCTCTCGCGGAGTTCAGTGTGTTTAGTAGTAAGGTTGCGCCGTGTCTTATGCCCTTGTGTATCGAACGAGCTTCTAGTGAAAAGAATGAGTGTATAGTGCGTAGCTGCCAAAGTTACCGACCAAGTGTGGAAAATTAATTTAAAAAAAATGTTCTTCAGAAGAGTTTTTGACAAAAATAATGGAAATTCGTCGACGAGTGGTGAAGGAAGTTCTTCGAATTCATCTAACAACGCTAGTTCATCGCCAGCCCGTTATCGAAGAGTTCTAAATGTAGAAGATAATCATCGAGTGTTGTCGGTACTACAGCTGACACCACTGTGGGAGTATATTATCCGGAACAATGAGCTTCCGGTTGGGTTGAACATGAACGAGCTCTTCCGGGAGTTCCTGGAGCGGTTGCATGATCCTGAGTATCAAGTTCGACAGCATTCCCTACGAGTTCTGATAGATGTACTGATTGTTCTTCGTGATGAATCCGATGTATACTTCGGTCCCTTGTTGCCACCAATCATCGACAATCTGGGTCATCCCTCGCCCGCTGTCCGCAAGGGAGCCTTGGATGTTCTCAAAGTGTACATAGCTCAGACCAAGATGCCTGAAACTGTGATGCTCGAAATTATGAACTACGGTATGGATCGGAACCCGAAGGATCCTCTCAGTACCCGGTACATCGTAGGGGTGATGCTGGCGTTACCTTCATTGATTCAACCAGCGATCTTGACTGCGAAGCGAACCTTTATCCTGCGAGCTGTCATCAATGCTTTGGGAGGAAAGATGGTTCAGATTACCTACCAGGAAATAGCATTGAAGATTCTTCTGAAGATCAAAAACACCATTGGTTCCAGGGAATTTTACGAAAGTATTTCCGTTTCTTACCGGAGGGATTTCGACCTACTGTGCAACGTGTACGGACTTCCGAATCCTCCGAAAAGTCCACGGCGGGAAAATGTTATCAATCTAACACCGCCAGGATCGGAACTACCCGTCAGGAAATCTTGGAAACCTCACATGCCTCAAGTTCCTACTACAGAAATTCATCAACCGATGCAACCCCTCTCTCCAAAAGCACAACGATGGAAGACGGGAAGTTATAATGATATTACACGAGCGGAAGCCTATGAAAACGAGTACAAGTCTCGATTTAATAACAATCCATATGCGATCAGTAGACTTCCTAATCATGGTAGTTCAGTAGTACGACGAGTTAGCATGGATAACATCGATAAAATCGACAGTTCCAAAGTGATAATGGAAACGGATATCAAAATAAACAAAGAATCCGTTACTATGCGTATAGTGGAAGCGGAAAACTCTCAATCAGTTAGTGAAGAAAGTGATGAAGAAAGTTCTAAGCGGTACGGTATAATGCGAGTGTTGACGGATAGCGAAATGGACGAGAGTGCAGGCCATAAGGCCGAAGATTTGTCTGGTGTGATGAACGAACAATCCTCGGATGAGTATGTGAGAAGAACTCCGAGGCGAGTGCGATTCGGTGGTGAAGTTGTGAAAATGAGGACACCTGACAGTGATACTTTTGAACATAGTGATCAAGATGGACTAACGGCTTCCCAGTCTTCTAGTTCTAGTGCACATGCTAATGTAAATATTCACAGCTCTTCAGTTACGCCTAGCTCTTCCGATAGATTTTCACCTACCATGCAACGATCTTCGCTTAAATCTTCTGCTTCCTCAACGGATCATACTAGCACTTCGCTGAGAAAACAATATTCACACTCGGCGGACACCGAACGATCCTCACCGCCAATTAGTAGCGAATACATCAGCAATATACGCAACAACAGACCGATGTCTGCTAAACCTAGTAGCTATGGTAGCTCCGAAGATACTCCACAGCGTAGACAAACGGCATTTGCCAGACGGAGAAGCGTCACCTTCGATGAAGATGACCTGCAAACATCTACGCTTACAGTAACTACCTTCGAACAGTCAGAATCTCCATCTCCTGAACCACCAGAACCTCCGGAGCCACCCCGAGAGCGACCCAAATCATCCCGACCAAAATCCGGACGCCCAGCAACAACACCAAACGAGGATGATCCTCAATCTGAAGAGCGAGCCAAATCATCCCGACCAAAATCTGGACGCCCACCGCCAGCTCCAGCCACAGAAGATAAACCCGAAACACCCACGAACGACATTGAGCCTCACCCAAAATCGAAACCTCAACCTGACACTCCAGACAATCACAGTCAACCCGAACCTCCGGAAAATAATCAAATCCTTGCGGAGAAAATCGAGGAAGTTAAACAGGCAATACAAGGTATCGAAGAAAAGATCAACAATGCTGTCTTCAAAGCTGTGGAAGCGATGGCCGAATTACCAACAAGTCCGTCAAAGCTGCAAAAGTCTGAATCTGCCGATTCGGCTACCATAACTACGCCAAAGCTACAGAAACCTAACCTGTCCCTCGAAGTTCTACTCAAAACCAGTACCGATACTACGGAAAATTTGGAGAAAGACGCCACAGGGGAAGACAAAGAAAAGAAAGATTATACTAAAGAGCTCAACATTGACATTCCAGTGGAGCAAAAGCCAAACAATGAGGCTCCATTGACGGCCGAAAAGCCTAACGCAACATCTAAAATACCCAAGATGATCAAAACAGGTATTCCTAAGCTGAATACAATGCCATCACCCAGACGAACAAAACTTTCTCCAAAGCCAGAAGACGCAGACAAGAACCACCCGACAAGTGCTACCTTATCACCTAACAAACATTTGACGGTCAACGATCGAGGGAGATCGAGACGCCGCAGTCGATCGGCGACGGGTATGGTTATAACGAGAAGTACGTACAGAAGCCCCGCAGCCCTCAGTCCAGCTCCACACAGTGGCGTCGAAATGATACATAACCTCTTGAGAAGCCCTTCCACTTCACCTAATCGAACCCGACGGAAGAGCTCAGTGGGTGATCTTCGGAAAGATTCTCTAACGATGAGTGATAGGAACAACAACAGCCTGGAGATGAATAACCTGAACGGAACCAGTGATAAATGTTTCAACGTCAATGAGGACGATATCTACGATGTATTTGGGAAAACAATCGCTACACAAACATCGATTGATGAGTTACATTTGGCTGCACCGCGGGTCATGTCAAGATCCGGAACGGACAACGAGATTCCCAGTATCGTCAACGTAAATCCCACTGACGAGAGTACGGATGCTGAAAACAATCAACTTTCTTCTGCAGTCTCGACAAGGAAATTTTTAAATCGAACCAATTCTCCTAAAGCTATGGAAGTCGGGCTCATCAACTCCTGGGAGGACCTAGGCATCGTGGATCGAGTTGCACTGCATCAGCTCAAAAGTGGAGTAAGTAATAATTATGGCATCGATTTTTCTTCGCTCTACTGCCCTAAGTAATTTAATTTGGCTCCTTTGTAGACCTCTAGCCAAGTCCCTTTCTCTTGTCGTCTGTTTGGAGAGAAAAAAAAAAGTGTGGCAAAAATCTAGTTCAGCTTAGTAAATAATAATAGCCGAACGTGCAACAAACGCGACGACCCCGTTTTCTTGCTTTTTTTTCTCATAGTTTCTATTGCGTCCTACTCAAGAAATCTCGACGCTCACTCCGCCAACAGAACTCACTCATATCAAAAACCGTCATCATCGTCGTCATCGGCGTCCTGTTTTTATATACCGACGAACGACCCGACCGGTCAGCAGTACGGCACACGATGGACGAGCCCAAATCAACAGAATCTCACAACGGCACGCAAACCCAAAGGTGCCACCAACCAGCCCCGTCTTCTGTCCCGTCCTGACTGTGTCGATGTGTGAGGCTAGAAATGGAAAGCTAGTCATGAAAATCAAGTGCAACACGCGAATAATAAGCACATAAGACCATTTCCACCTTACTTCGCGGAGCTACTTTCACAATAAGGAACCGAAAAGAAGGTGTAGGTTATATGCTAAACCGAGTCACCTTCGCAGGGTTCCTTCACTTTACAACACTCGGCAGTCGGCACATACGTACCTACCTATCACTGTGAAATGGAATGGGGTTTCCCCCTTGACTGACAGTTACTTATTCACAAATGATGTGATGGAGGCGCATCATAATTCACCACTTTCACCTATATGCCACTCGAAAGTTCTCTCGGTATTTCCGTCTGAAAGTAAATGGATAACTAAAATTCAACAACATTCATTCTCATTATCGCCTATATACAATCTGGTATTCTCCAAACGAATAACGTGAGGGGTTGAATGTCCTATTTTATTGTTCTCACCTCGACGAGACGAGCTATGTGTGGCGCTTGTTCAGGTGAGGTGCTAGAAGTATTCTAGTTGTCAAAATTGTGGGTATACCTGCATAATGGAGGTATCGAATTTTGTCCTTAGTATACATTTTACACCCATCAGGATGCGGTATCGTGGAACTTAAAATGTATGTTAATTTGCATTTATTTACAATGGGAAATGCTAATGGAAGCTTTACATCCACTGGAAGGAAGGTGTGAAAGTTTTTAACATAGCGTGAAGAGTACCACAACAAGCGCAGCTATCAATGATGTAGAGTTCAGATGCCTCCCGAAAGCATGCCTATCGTTTATTATAGCTTTGAATACGATATTTTCGAGATTTAAATGATTTATCGCTTAAGACATTTAATTCTCTTTTTACTAAGAATTTTGTTTACCCTTCATTTATGGGCAGTACGCAAATTTGTGCACGAAAAAAAGTAGACACCCTTTTTTGGAATCATAGTAACTTAAATAGCATTACAAAATTTTCAACACTGTTTAGATAAAAAAAAATCGTTCAAAAAATTAACTATCAATCCTAGCATCATCTTATTTGATGACTTATTTGAAAAAATAAAGTAGGTCCCCACTTTGTAATGTACAAATTTCCGTAGATCTGGCATCGCTTCCGTAGATCTGGCATCGAAGATGCACAGAAGACACACAATGAACCTGAAAAGACGAGGAGGATCTCATCCTATCCTTCCAGTTGCCTCCAATTCCACCCAATCAAAAAATGTTGGGCAATTATCAAACCAAAAACTGGCGAGGATGCGCAAAATTTTTCTGAATTTGGTACAAACTGACCGCTGAGATATGCTGAGGTTAACCAGTAGGGTGTGCAAAAGATGATGATGGAAATTTCAAGAAAAATTCATGCAATAATAAAGCTGCAATTTAATTGATTCATGTGTCTTACTGGATTTAGGAATTTAAATTCTCGGTTATTTCCCAGTTGTTTAACATAGTTTTCCCGATTTAATGGAAACAGATAAAAATGGTGGAATACTTAAATAAACATTACAATCTTTTAATTTTGTCGAACCTCTTTATGAATAGCTTTTAGAGTATATATGTTGGTGCAGTGGTGTTGAGTACTTGGCACTGATGAAGTCTGCAAGTAGTAGACAAAATACGCGTATCTGTCAAAAGATAAGCAATCATACCAGAATTAATAGGAAATAACTCAACACACTCAAAAAGCTCTTAATAACTTTACAAGTTTTATCGAAGTTTTAAAGATCAAGCCTAAATCATGATCTACGATAGTATGATAAAACCAAAATTCTTATTTGAGACATAGATTATTATTTCGGATAACTCTAGTTGTAAGCAGCGATAGTTGGCAAAAATAACTATTTTTTTAGCTAAAAACTTGTTCCAAAACCTTACCATGTCAAATAAACAAGGGGTGCCAGCTTTTTTCGTGTACATCAATCAGAATACATGGCATCGTTGGTTGTGAGATCAAAATTAGACCTGTACGCAGCCACGCCACGCCCCCGACGTTTTTGAGTCGACACGCCGCCGTTAAAATTATTGATACGCGCGATAGAGTTCTCCATAAATTCATCTAGATATGTTTTAATACATCAGAATGATCAGGTATGATACTTGAAGATATCCAACTATCCGAAAATTTTAATCTCTTTTCTCAGATATTTCCTCATATCCAGGCTGCTCAGAAATTATTACAAAGACCTTTTTATTCAGGTATTATTTTTTATACGACACCATTCTATTAAAGTAAGGTATTCTGGAGATATCTTGCCATCCATCAATCCAAATTACATCACTGATATTTTCTCACATGATATCAGCTAACTCAGAAATTATTCCAAAGACTTTCAAGTGATCGAGGATATTGATGAGGATCGCTCACGAAACGAAAATCAATTATTTTATCCATGTGTTTCACTTATACATTTTTGCTAAAACATCAGCCTTATACATTCCATAAGACAAACCACATAAGTCATATAAGAATGCATAAAAGGTATGTGTGCCCGCTTATACATTTCATTTGACACATGATCTTCATTAACTTTTTGCAAGGCGTCTGCTTATTTGTTGACTTATACATTTTATAAATTATCAACAATAGAAATTTGCCAAAAGGTATAAGGAGATTTCTATCCGTGCTGGATATTTTTCAATGTATTATTCTGAAGATCGTCAACTGTCCAACATTTCAAGTAACACCTCTTGGATATTGTCTTGTGATTTCAGATAGCTCAGAACATATTTTGAATATTCTGCCTATCATTCTGAAGATCTCAAATTGTTTAATAAAATAAATCATGTCACTAAGATATTCTCGCAAGAAAGTAGGTTGACCTGGAATTATTCCAAAGACCTTCAGATTGTATCTGGATAATTTAGCGATTCATATGGTTTATAAGATATTTTTCTGAAAATCTGTACCAGTTCAATGAATCGTATATATTCTCTTATCATAGCAGGTTGATCAGAAATTATTCCAGAGATCATCAGATAGTCAAAGACCTGCATCATGTCCTCTGTATATTTTGTCAAGACTTGAGATCGATCAGGTTTTATTCTGGAGGCCTCACACTGTCCAGTAATTCAAATCTCAGATATTTTTTCAGAAAGCAGGTTGAACAGTTGGTCAAATACCTGTATAATGTTCTCTGGATATTGTGGCAAATCTTCTGGTTGATTAATGATTATCTTGTCATGTCTCTTAGATATTCTTGCAAGACAGCAGGATGATCAAGAATCATTCCAAAAAGGTCAATGATCGTCATAAAGTGCTCTGGATAATTATTCAAGACTATTAGTTTATTAGGTATTATTTTGTACATCTCCAACTTAAATCATGTTTCTAAGATATTTCTTTCAGAAAACAGGTTCATCCGTAACTATTCCTAAAACCTTAAATTGATCAAATAACTGCATAAAGTCTTCTGGATATTATGTCAAGGCATCAGGTTGATCAGGAATTATTTCAAAGAACTTTAGTTAATCATTGATCTCCTAAAAGCTTTTTCAAGACTTATCGTTGATCTGGTATTATTCTGGAGATCTTCAATTGTTCAATAAATTAATGCATATTTCTTAGATATATATAGAAGGATGATTAGAAAATATTCCAAAATCTTCAGTGGATCAAAGTTCTCCATATTGTTTTTTGGAACAATAAAAAAAAATATTCTGAATATCTATAATTGTTTAATAGATCAAATAATATCTACTGCAAAATAGCAGGATAGTTAGAAATTATTCCAAAAACCTTCAATTTTTCAAAGACCAGCGTAAAGTGCTTTGGATATTTTGTCAGCATTGCAGGTTCATCACAGCAATCTTTTCGCAGACTTTCAGTTGATCAATGATCAGCATAAAGTCCTTTGGATATTTGTGAAGACTTTTGATTGATCATATTTCATTCTGAAGATCTTGAATTATTAAACATATCAAATCACGTCTCTTAGATAGTATGGCAAGATAGCAGGTTTCCAAAACCTTCAATTGGTCAAAAAGGCTTACAAAAACTTCATTGGATATTTTGTCACGACATCAGGTTGATAAGGAATTATTCTGAAGATCTCCAAAAGTCCAGTTTTAAAAATCATTTGCCTAAGATATTTCTTCTAGAAAGCATGTTGATCAGGATTTTTTTTTACAGACCTACTTTTGATCAAACACTTTTATAATGCCCTCTAGATACTATGGCAGGCAAGACTTCATGTTGATCAGACAATATTCTGACTGTTTACAGGACATCTTTCTAAAGCTCAGCGCTGACAAAATAACAACGGCCAAAACAACTATAAGAATCGATCGTAGGTTATGGCAGTGTTCAGTAAAGCTACTCGTGCTTATGTAAGACAATCATGCTTAAATATGCGTGAATTATGAATTATGGTCAAAACGTGAGAAAATTTGTTTTTTAGCTTTCTGCTCTAAAACACCCCAAAAAAGTAAAATTCTGGCCTTAACATGTTCACACTTTTGTCAGAAGACTACAATGATAAATATCAAATAGTATACGAGATATAGCCGTGCATAACCAAAGCGCGAGCAAAAATATTGATGATGGCATAAATTCAAATTTAGAACTAAATTCTCAAAACCCAAATAGGGTTTCACTAGTTTGGGTGGGTACTTGCAGAAACTGACGTCCGAATTTTGTTTACATTTTATGTGTTGCACTGTGGTATTCACAGATAATCTAAATCGTGTTCTTATGGCAAACATAAATGTTGCTTAATCTCGGCAAGTATTTCACTGAGATGCAGCAAAATAAAATGCTGAGCTGCTCGGTGGTGCCCATCTCGGAAAAAAAGTCTAAGTGTATAGAGACATCACAAATATAGTCGCCACAACACTTGGAACGTAACTTTGTCCTGACTGGTAACAGGTAGACATGGCACAACTGTCTATAAGCTATTTTAATAGAGGGATCGATTAGCTTTACGTTTTCCTAAGGTCCCAAAAAAGGTACACGCAAACCAATAATTTATTACATTCAATGTTAGTTGCATTTCCTATCATCCTCCGCAACGAATACCGCAGAGAGTAATGTAAGTTGGCCATGTAGATGATGCAATGATTTTTTTTTTATCTTTTTTCTTTTTATTTATTACATTGTAGAACGACGCACACACTTGCTTCGATTCTCTCCAATTCTCGTTCAGCATAAAAAGAGTGTGAAATCAAATTATCGTACTATGAGCGTTTCTTATTCTCTTTTAGCCTATCCATGTTCCGAAGCATGGAAAAAGCAGTGGAGAAAGCATAGGTCTTATAATCGCAAAGTTCGTGGTTCGAGTCCACTCGGCACCTTTTTTTTTTATTTTCGTCACAATTTATTTCTCTCACTTATACACTCCACATTTTTCGGTTTCCAATTATCTTGCATTGGACGATCTTCAACAACATCATGCGATGATGAATCCCTCATAAGTGTAAGCAAATCTTACATCCCCGGTTGGATGTACATGTACCTTTAGTTCGTAAGTTCGTAGAACATAAGAATTTACACTTGACACGTAATTAAACTAAACAACTATACTTCCGCAATACTTAACTGCCAGGAATGTTAAAAATGTGATACGCATACGATAAAAAAAACAAATTATAGCACAGTAGATTTTGCGAACATAAAACTAACCACATCTAGATTGACCCAAAGAACTTCACCTCCTTTCTTGCAGAACCGAATAGTAAACAACACTCGAAGGAACCAGACTACTGGATGCGAAAACAAATCTAGAACACAACCGAAAATCCAAAAAAAAATAACCAGAATTGCGTGCGTGACGGCAGCCATTATTACACTTCTTTACGGCACCGTTCTCGACACTCCTCCCTCACACTCTCTTAGCACATTCGTTCCTTGCGACGATATATTGACTTTATTCGTATGTACACCACTTGCCTACATCCATCTCATTTTCCTAAATTGTCGAGCAGAAGAAAAACTGTAACACTTGCATGTTTCCGTCTTCTACATCCTTTGCTGCTTGTACTCCACTATCCGACGCCCATATCTTGAGACCACTAATTAAAGCTGATCTACTTAGCACCCCCAAAATGAAAGCTCCCAACGAACAAGCAAAGGAAAACGGTGTCAAAGCGCTAAATCGGTTTCGTTCGAACGGACGGACTCCCTAGAAGACATTGCCCTCCGATGCGGACTGACTTGGATCGAATCTCGACCGGCCGGGGCCAAGGAGAATGCAAGCTTTGACTTCGTTTGGGTTTTCCCAATCGACAGTCTTTAATTTGCCTTTCGACGCGCCGCACGTGCCATAGACGACGGGAAACTTTTCCGACAAAACATACATATAGGACCGAGAACTTTTCACTCTCAGTCTTCGGTAGGGTGTTTGCCTTCGCGGTTCGTCGCACCGGAAATTTGCGGATTCTCCTTGAACCATACAAGGCGCGCCTGGAAAACTTTAAACTATCATCATGTCTGTACGGAAACTTGTTCGGTGGAGTTACCGTAGTTTAGAGAAGCTGATTTTCCACCTGTGATAGTGCAGTTGAGTGAGTTTCGTCGATTAATCTAATCTCTGTCCGGAGGAGTTAGAGAAACACGTACAAGATGAGAAATGTGAGCAAAATTAATAGCTTCCTGCCGCGTGTGGAGAATCGAGACAGCTTTTTTACAGTGCCTGAAACGTGTTAATTTATGTCCTGCTCATTTGTTATTCATGTCCTTTCGCCTGGATACATATGCACCCGCGGACGTTGTCGCCCATTACGTAACATAACCGTAACCGTACACATTGTTCACCTTCGTTGCAGGATTGGCGAATACGGTCCCAAGGATTTTGTGCCATCGAGGAATCGCTCAAATCTTCCGACAATCTGGCCAAGGTTCAGCCGTACCTGGAGTCGCTACTGCGAACACTGCTCTCGTCCGAACGCAACCCGGACATCATCGAGGATAAAGTGCGGATGCTAGTAAATCTGATATCACGCCTACCGTTGGAGAACCTCGAAGATCGGGTCGGACAAATCATGACCGGCTTGTGCCGGCAGGGCGGCCCGGGAAGCAACAACGTCGCCAAAGCCCTGATGCAACGGTTGCCAACGGCTGCCATCGTGCAGCGGCTGCTATCCGATGAATTCTTACATGCCAAAAGCTCAAAGGTACGTTGGCATGGCTTTGTGGAGTACCAATAAATATCTCAAAATTAAATTATAAGGGCGCTCAATTGTTACAACATTGATTGAATCACATAATTCTAGGGCTAAAGTAGTGCTGTCTTTAAGGTGATAGTTCATTTCCATCAAACTTCTTATGCTGATGCTTAAAGATTAGTTTAGTTTTCCTTATTGTCGAGACTTTCAAGCTGATGGTTAAAAGAGCTTCCTCAAAGACACCATAAATGTAGTCTTCGAGATACTTCGTGGAATCTAATCTAACTGTTTTTATTATTTTCTAGTTCCGTGAGAATTCATTGCAAATGGTCCTATTTGCTCTAATGACATTCCCCAGCACGTACTTTGACATCAAGACGCTGATTTCGAGAGCCACCGAGGCAGCGGTGGACCGAAAGAAGCGAGTGCGACATGTAAGTCTATTCTCTTTTGAATTGGAAGGCAAACAACACTGGATTCTTACATCAATCAATTTGTTCAACAGGGAGCGCTCGATGTGCTAGCAGTATTAGGACAAATCAGCTCGCCTAAACTAGTCTTAGACGTGGTGTGTTCTTCCGTCGCTCAGCGTCCCGATGGAAATCATCTGATAGCAGCGGTTAAGGCACGGCTGGCCCGCAAGCAGCTACCATTCATTGGTCCAGATGGCAGTGTGGAGTACGCGTTGAAGGTTCCTTCGTGTCGATCCACTTCTGTCATCATGTTCGGTGCCGATGTGGATTGGATAGAAGCCGGCAGTGGTTCAGCGTCTCCGACTTCGACACGTTCGAAAAACTACCCGAGCTTCCAGGTCGACAGCAGCGGTTCGTTCGAGGAGTATAAAAAGTAACAAGTCTACGTTTGCAGATATTAAAGTCAAGTAATTAATCAAAATGTAACAACAATTTCTTGCAGGAAACCGAGCTTCCAGGTATTTGAAGACGTAAAGCAGCCGATTGACAGTAGCAAAGTAAACAGCTCTGGTTGGACTTCCAAAATTCCAGTAAGTCACACGGTAAGCCACGACCACGAGCGATACCGATACATTTATAGCTGATATAATATTTCACATCTCCTACCGGTTACGATGCTTCTGAATCGTTGGTACTAATAAATTAATAATTCATGAGACGATGTTTTGGCTGTAGTATACCGAAGTATGATGGTTACTACTTTGTCAAAATGGATTGCTGAATTGGACACATTCCATTGTAAATAGGTTCCCGAAATTGTATGTATATATATACAGGTCCTGAGTGCAATTCGGACCAAAATAACATACAACATAATAATGTCAGTTGGAGGGCTAGATTCGAATGGGGGTAATAGTTCTTGTTTCAAATCGATTCAAACGTTTTGATTACAAAATTAATGGGTTTTGGCTTAATAATTGCAGGGCATTCCTCAGTCGTGCTATAGAAATTCATCCACAACATTGGATGATACAATAACACTAGACGCTAGACGGATATATACCGCCGAAGAAAATTGAAATCGGAAGTTGCCAATCGAACTGGTCAATTCCAGTTTGATGGAAGCGCAAAAGATTTATATAATGGACATATGTATGTGTTGTGGATTAGGATAAACAAAAAGCTTATAAACTCGTTATTATTCAACAAATGCAAATACAATTATGTGCATCGAAAAACACTGATTCGTTTTTACAACAGCGCTCCACCTTTAAAAAATACCATTTTATTTCCTCTTGAAAAACAATAAAACAATCAAATCCAACAGTATTCAAATGCTATAACTGTTATCAAATGAATCATGCAGTCATCTGTCTTCACATTCACTTCCATCGTAAACTAGTAACCATTTTTTAATAAGCTACTCTTTACAACAGAGCACCCGTTGCGCAGTCCCCACCTTTATTATCCTATGTTCTTATCTACATTTCATTTTCATCGATATACAATAAGCTTTCTCTCTCATGTCAGCCAATAACAATAGATCTTGATAAATAAAAAGAGAAGGGTTAGTAATTTCCAATTAATTCCACTAACTTAATTGCTTATCCTCGGCAGATACGCGTATTTAATCTACAATGTGCAGACTTCTTCAGTATCTTAGTACAAGGCACTGTAGACGAAATACGCGTATCTGCAAAGGATAAGCAATTAAGATAGTAGAATTTAATGGAAACTGCTAATCCTCCTCTCTTTCTTTATACAGGTATTCCACTATAGACGCCCACATTCATCAGGAAAAAATCTTTGCCCAACTAACTATCACGGTCAAGAAGAATCTACATTTTTCAAATATGGTATAGATTTAATTTAAAATTAGTGGCGTGTCGTATCAACTTCAATAATTATTTCCTAACTATGGCTTTTTTCTGCAATTTAGTGATATTTAACGGTCATTAATGGTGATATGAATAGAAACTGTTGGACCTTCTAGAGATTAAGAGAAAAAAGCGGTGTGAACGGAATGGCAACACCTTTTCTTTACATCGTTTTTTAGCTTGTTTGAATAGAGATATGAAGTGAATGCACCAACCAATTCACAATCCGCCTGGATTGACCAAAAATCATTGCTTTGAAGATTATTATCAGTTCAAAATCAAATGCATGAAAGTACATAACAGCTGCGGGATTCACATATACATTTGTGATTTTTAAGAGCACTTTACTATATACAAATGCAAAAAACAGGTTCAGTGCAACCAATGCAAAAATCAAAGCAAAAATGTATTAAACTTTAAAATATTTCAGAAATACGAAGAACAATTTCGATATGGAATGCTACTATTTCAAATCAATCTAAAGGAAAATATATCTTGATGTGATGTTCTACACTGACAACGTCGATCTTCATGAAAATAATCAATTTGAATTCAGAAGCACAAACTTGTGCAAAGTGTGGTCCAATTATTTTTTAAGGTCTTGAAAAACCCTTTCAGACACTACAAACCCTATATTGACGGAATCGAGCGCATTTTAGTTACAGATGTAAAAAATTTAATTTCAATGTAAAATAGTAATTTAGTAACAGCGATACACAATGCTTGCAACAGATTTTAGGTCAATTTATTGTATAAAGTGTTAGTTTTTACCGTTTAGGATGTGAAACAATTATGCCATTGAAATAAACTATTCATGTTTATTGAATTTCTTGGGAGATCAATTTGTAATGCCTTGGTCAAAAATTTGCATCTTCATCGCTATGCACAAAATTCAATTCTTGTCGAATTATCTTGAAATGTTGGATTTGAACCCAAAATCTATCTGAGAAACTGAAATATTCTAAAAATAATAATCCATGAAAGCAAAATTCCGACTTCGCCCTCGATGCGTCGTTGGTAGTTTTCTATAACTGTGTTTTTTGCACAGAAGTTCCAATAATCTCAATCGCCTGGTAACGACAAATGCTGATAACTGGCAGCTTTACATAAAACAACCTCACATGCAAAATACAAAATTTACAAAATACAGGGAAGACAATACAAGTATGACAAAATACAAAAATACAGATAACAACATGTTTCTGAACAGAGCTCATCTCTAAAATTGGTAGAAAATATCAAGAGCATAAATGTATCCTATCGAATGCTAATGTAATTATCAAATATTTACGACTTTATCGCATACGTTAGGACAATAACATAGTGGTAAATAATGGTGAGTTTGCTATTGCCTTCTTATCAAGTTTATTGTAATCATACATAACACAAGTACACCAACATACTCACACAAAAATCATAAGAAGTCATTCTTCTCGCTAAAACCCGAAAATGTGCTTGGCTTTCAACCGGTATTCTATATTGTTCTTTCGACAACAATTTTCCACTTTCATTTCTGGGTCACAAAATGAACAGTAGCACACTACACTGAGCTCCTTCTGCGCCTTCCTTCATTAACATACACAACCGGCAAACGGATCGCTCACGACCTCGAACGATACAAAACGAAAATCCGTGCAATTACTCCAATCATTCACATTCATATATACTTGACACACTTTTCGGAAAAAAAAACCATACCCGCATTTACGTCGCCAATTTCCCTGTGCCTAAGCGAACACATGCTACTCTAGCGGAAAGCTATATCCTAAAATTGCACCCTTTACTGAAGGATATATCAGTTGGCACCAGTGTTGGAAAAGTTCACCAATACTCACTATGACTCGCGAACTTTTCCCTTGGTTAACGCTGGTAGCTACAAACACCCGCACTGGAATGAAGTACAACAATAATTACGAAGTACATAATTCTAGAAAGCACATTTTTGAATACTTAATTAATGTATTTTCCAGATTAAAATGATTGCATACAACATGACATCACCTTAAATTATTGAATCACCTACAACACAAACACGATCACCCTGCCAACGAATTGATGTTCCTTTTTCGAAACATTTTACACGCCTAACACGATTCTTCCATTTCCGCATGACAAACTAACTATGCTGCTACTGATAATGATGATGATGATGATGATAATGACGACGGCGTTGAACGATGATATTGGTTGCCAACAACGATGCCGCCGCCGACGACGACAGTAACGTCAGGATCAAGAGCTTTCTATGGAAATTTACAATCGCGGTCATATCCGGAGCAATCCGAGCTACAACAACCGCAGCAGCAGAGAAAACTTCCTCCCGCCAATAATGGTGGTAACGTGAAATCGCAACCTAATGGACGACTCGCCAAACAGCCAACAGTTTCAAGGTGATGTCAGGCAGATCTATATGGAAATCAGGATAGTTCATTTTGCTTGTACTACTTCCACAGGTTTCCCGAAATGGAGCCCAAACAGGGTGGGAGAAATGGACTGAATGCAAAGAACAGCAATCCTTACGAGATGAAACCTACGAGGCCGACACGGAGTAGGCTGTGTTCGAGAATGAGTGACGGCTTCATGAGCGATACCATAGGTAAATATTCCTCCAATGTAAAACGGAAAAGATTTTAAAGAGATTGGTTTCCACTTTCCAGCCAGTGCCAACCGAGTACTGCAAGGTGAATCATCACGGCCGTCGACTGATCCTGCAATCGATAATGGGGCGATACGACAATCGCGTAATGGGATGCGGTTCTACAACCCCAACATTATGATGAGGTATGTGTAATACATGGTCGGAGGCGAACCAGCCTAAGGCTGAAAGCCTCCTAAATAAAGCTAAATTAATTAATTAATTGTGTAATACATTTATTGTGCTTGCTATTTACGTGCATCACTTTTACCGATAGGCAACTTATTGAGACTAAGTTATAATCTGCAACAGTAGTGGGGTAGGATGTATCCCAAGGGCAAAATGAACTTTTGGCGTTAAAATACCACTTTACCTCTTTTTCGAGGATATGTTAAGGAACATTGCTAGTGCAATGTCCGAACTAACAATACAGCATGATAAATCCACGAAAATATGTTTACCTACTCCTCTGCAAATTTTTGCTATTCACATGTTGTAATTGTAATGAAATATTATATATTTTAAATATCGCAGTTAAAAATTAACACCTCTATCAGGGTCGAAAGACAGTACCGTAAACTGAAATAGATTTTTACATAAAAGGACATTGACCAACTAATGGTATTAAAACCAGTAGCTACGAGGACTATTTATCATATTGGATAGTTTGCTTATTTCAGGAAATTTTGGAAATCTCAAATTTGGAATTGTCGATATGGGGTGATATTGATCAACCTTCAAATAGCTTGCCAATGCATGTATAGTGTATGTCCTCTATAGATGTAGGTTCCCCACGGAGGCAGCAATCAAGAATTTCGTCGTTGTTCACATCAATGTGATGATTATAGGGGGGTTAGGATGACTGCAACAGACTACTCTTTCTAGTATTCAGCACTGCGATGCAAGTGTTCTGTCATACCTCCGTCAGTTTTGCCGCTGTCAGTATGTCCAAAAATGTCAAAATTCTGTGAGCTATGGTCACATAACATATGTGGAACTTCATGCAAAAAGCTGACTCAAATCTGACCCCTTTTTTGTTTTGCCTCAGTGGTATAACTGGCATAGTTGGACATCGATCTGTCAAAATAAAATTTTCGTTATATCGAGACTGAGCATTCATAAAGACCAATGTCGAAAACATAAATAATGGCTTTTTTCGTAAATGTCTCGTAGGTTATAGTCAATCCATGTAAGCTACTAATTTTATCGGATAGCAGGACTCTTTCTCTCCACAATCATGGTGTTGGTTTTCTTGGAAGAGTTTTCATTTTCGAGAAATTCACACAAAAAGTAATTGTTTACGTTTGCAAGCATTGGCCCTTACGAAAGTAAGCATTGGCGTTGACGGCGACTCTGCAACTCTTTACTCCTGGTAAAATCGCATAAGCAGCTGACAATCTGTGCATGAAATCTAGCGGACTTTGTCTTATCTCTTAATTCCTCCAGCAAGCCGCCGTTTATTCAAGCAAAGATTGACAGAATCATATGGGTTTTTCATAGGAGTGAAAGGATAAGGAAATGTTCATCAAGTTTCACGCACAGACTGATGTTTGCTTATAGGATTTTACCATAGAAGTGAAGAGTTACAGAGTGACCAAAGAGGCGAATTGTCAATAGTCACGGTAATGCGTAATGAGATGATGTTCGTCCGCTGTTTCAATACTTGACGGAGTTTGACGTGTGGGCATTCTTTTTTCGACTAGCTCGACAGGGGGCTTTTCAAAGGATTTTTAGCTAGTATTTTCAAGTCGGTGAGAAGCCAATCAAGAGCGTTGTTATTCAGTAATATTGCCTACTTACAGACGCATTATTTCTTCGTCTTATTGGTTTGCATTGGATTCATGACGGAAATTATGTCAATTGAATATAATTTAATGCAAACAATTCGAAGATTTGAGGATTACGTTGAATAGGTGTAAAACTATCATTTTGTCCGTGGTATGTTGAAATATTGTGCTTTCAGTGAGTTGATGCATATTAACGATTATTTTCGTTAATAAACAGTGCTTAACTTTGATCAACTTTACCATGATGTTTGTTAAAAAGGAATTGGAGTAGTTATTTCTGTTTCGGATTTTTGAGGAAATTTTCATTTGACGGCAATTGAGAAACATAGGGAAATCTTGGATATTGCAGGTATCGATAAGCACTCGATTTCATTTATTACGCCCTTATAAAATTCTTGCGAATGGAACGATGCAAAGTCAGCTCAAAACACTGAATATTTTTCAAATGGTACTTCTGACTCTTGTTCCAAATTTTGCTGTTTCTCTCTAGACCTAAAAATCTAAACACCTAATTCCAAATTTACGCGGTCATGTTTTTCCTCCTACGAAACCTAATGAAATCAAAGTTTGATGCAATTGGTTCCAAAAAAATAGAAAGTGTTCAAAGAAGGAAATATTACAAACATGTTTCTTCTAAGTTTACCACAGTTTTGCTGGTGAATTTGTTAAAGTTAGCTATATAATAATAAATAAAGCACATAAATGGTTAAGGAAATAGTAAGACATGAGTTCAGGAGTGCTAAGAACACATAGAATTATAAACCACGGTAGAATCATTCAAAATAATTGACAAGCCCCTTGATCCCCTTTCTCATTTAACAGCTGGTATAATCAATTTGACAGATCGATGTCCTTCTATACCACTTGAAATCACTGAAATGGGGTCGATTTTTGATGATCGAGTTCCACATATGTTATGTGCTATGGTGCATTTATATGTGGTTGACAAGGATAGGGTCCCCATGGGGTTCCCTGAATCCGAATCAGACGTCACAATAAATATAAATGGTTCTACGAAGGTTCTTTAGACCATGGCTAGTAGCATGCTTGAAAACCTCTATAAAACTTGCAATGTTAATTGGGAATGTTTGTCTTGATGTGTTCATTTTACATCGCACACAAGGTACAGTTAGCACCTATGCTTCTTCAAAGCTTCGTTTTTGTCATGATCCTACTTTCCCCCACTGTTTCAGAATACGTGAGATTTACAATTATTATATTTAAAAACCTCACAATATCGCAGTTTTCCATAATAATTCAATAAATATAATGAGTAATTCACGAGATAATGTTCAAATTGACGTACCTAAAACTAAAACGTCAATTTATCGACACTGATAGCTCACCCCCGCAAACTAAGTTCCCCATCAGGTAGGGAAAAATGTCAGCTTTCTGGTGCACAGCAATAAAAAAAATTAACAACCCAAACGCAATATCCCTAAACGGAAATTATGATAAGTAAATTTACATCGATGTGTTCGATCCGATCTAGCTTCATCGTTGCCCGAATCCCAATTTTTGCTTTACCAATTGAAATTACAACATATTCTCAACGTGGTTGAAGTTTCTTTACTGTGTGGGCGAGCTATTCATTTCGAATCAACTTGTTAAAATCTCCCAATAAAAAAAAAACAAAAATCGATAAATTAACGTTTGGAGCCACTTACGTTGATTAAAGATCGTTTTGCCAGAATTGAGATTTCCTTGTTTAATATAGGGGAAATGGATGTAATGTTGACCTAAGTGCCTCTAATGTGGGCCCATACATAAATTCAACAATCGACTAAATTTTCAAAAATATCCATAAGTGCCGTCCCAAAGACGCGTTCATCTAGATAAAATTGATAAATAGTATCCTGATGAATGTGGGCGTCTTAGTGGAATACCTGTATAATGAGAGAGAGAAGGATTAGTATTTTCCATTTAATTCCACTACTTTATTTGCTTATCCTTGACAGATACGCGTATTTCGTCTACAATGTGCAGACTTCTTCAGTGTCTTGTACTATCGACAGTCGATAGTCGAGTATTAGTACAAGACACTGAAAAAGTCTGCACATTGTAGACGAAATACACGTATCTGTCAAGGATAAGCAAATAAAGTAGTGGAATTAAATGGAAAATACTAATCCTTCTCTCTCTCATTATATGATAAATAGTAGATTTTGAGCGATGGGCCCAATCTTAGATTATTATTATTATTTAGCTTTATTTAGGAGGCTTCCAGCCTTAGGCTGGTTCGCCTCCAATAACAATCTTAGATCCATAGGCCAACATTAGAGCCATTTCCCCTATGTAGTAATAAATATTTATTTTATGAACAAATCACCAGAACCAAATACACGGTTGAATGAGATAAAATAGTACACTGAATGATATAGGATTATATAGAACATAATTGATGTGAAAATGTATGAAGACACTTGGTAGGGGAATGGAGCCTATTCTCGGCCCATGCTCCTATTTTTGGCCAAACGCTAAAACTCAGGAGTGAAGCAACATGTCACTAATTTTCGTTTACTAATGATATTATACTCCATTCCAGCAGAAAAAATCAGGCCGAAGTAGGCTTAAACTGAGTTTTAGTGTTAGGCCCAAAATAGGACCATAACCTGTTATATGAGCTTGTGCTTAATATTATTTGCAGCACTTCTACAGTTATATTGTGTTGCAAAATACAAACCTGAAAGATGTTCTAGACCGAACCAGGAATCGAACCCACGGTAATACAAGACTACAATACAATTTTTGCATAAGCATAGAAAGCTCTCAAAGAATACTACGTGGATAGCCGACAGAAAACGCTCGCAAAAGAAGCGTAAACAGCCAAGAAAAAGAAACACTTTACCCCAGGGTGCATTGTGAACTGGCTGCTTCTACCATATCATATCAAAGGACTAAAGAATAAGTCTATGAATCATATGCATTTGACACATTCTACCAGGATGTATCCACGTTTTTGCCTGATTTTTAGACAGTTTTTGGTACTGTAACTCGCCCCCCAGTCGAGGTCGGAGGGATATTTCTGAGGCATAAAAATCTCTGGTCACGTTTTCCTTCGGAAGGTCAGTAAATCCGTTGGTCCCAGCCCATGTGTGTTGAATTAAATGGGTGCGATATCCTACGCAGGTGTGGAAGCTGCCTTCCTGCACATTCGACTGTCGTCAATGGATGGCAATCGATGTCCGTCGGTGATTGGTACTAGATTGCGGAACAGAGACCGACGTTAAATAACGGAATGAAGAAGAAGTGGATCTAATTAACGGTGTGCCCGATTTGCTCTGGCGCTCTCCAGTGAATCATTATATCAGAATTTCTGCGCCATCTATTTCACGACAGTGGAAAATCCTTCGAAAAAG